GGATTTACTTTGAATGGAAACAATTATATTTCACATCTCACTTCATGGGACAGACGGTCTGTCATAAACAACAAACAGTTCAGTAAACAAATATTTTTTTTAAATACATCATCAGTGGATCTATAGTAGCTTTAATGAAATTCACTGTGAAAACAGGGCTTTCAGGAGTTCAGAGAATAGTGTAGTATTATTAAATCAATTTGCACCATATGGAAGCACCTCTGCTTAGCTGTTTACACCATGCTTTCACTGTGGGCTGTTTCTTTATGAACTACTTACATGTAACTTGCTGCTTTGTCCTGAGTCAGATCCAACAGGCGGGCTCACTCAGCATTCGTCCCACTGCAAAGCCTGCACTGCTGATCACTAGATCCCATTGTCAACAAGGAAAGCCAGCCGGGCTCCCCATTGCTCACCTGTCTGAGTCTCCAGTACAGATAAACCCAGAGAGCCGACGCAGGCATGTCAGCTCACGCATGTTGATGTTAGTAGAGGCTAAAATCCAAGTTTGCTTGCTTAGTAATAGGCTGTAATTTCCCCACTCAGTTCTGCTCCATGCTCAGCAGAGATGGTCTGGACATGAAAAAAAAGTCCATTTAAAAAATTAAAGTTCCCACAGTTCCTAGCTGTAATCCTGAAGATGAAGGGGGGGTGGTGCTGGAGGGATAGGGTGGGGTATAGCTGAGGTAGAGGAGGCAGGAGACGAGCTCTGCCATCAGGGTGTGACTGCAGTCTCTCATTCAACTACTGTCACACGCTGTCAATGATAAACATAAAGAGGGAGAGCAGGAGCTAGAGTGAGGGAGAGTCTGCGAGGATCCCCTGCCCCCCCCCTGCCCCGCATGCTGGTCCCCCTTCTTCGACCAATCACGTTAGTCTAGCTTAAGGGGCTGAGTGGAGGAAAGAGATATGATTGGCTGGGTGAGGGAAGGAGGAGGTTTGCAGCCAGACAGCAGGAAGAGCCAGCAAGGACGTGCGCTCAGTGGAGAGAGGCGCCATTCATGAACAGTAGTGTTATTTACGCACGCCTCAAATCTAATTTTCTTCCTGTACAAAGTTAATTTGTGAACAGTGAAAGCAAGTTTGCACTACAATGAAAAAGCTGAAAATCTCGTGTGTAGTTGATGCATGAGGTTAGATTGCAAAGCTCCTAGGACACACTGACTTTTCCCCCTCCATCTACCTTATTACAGCCCAGTCACAGCCAGTCTGTGTACTCTCTCTACAA